TACTCATCTTTTTGTTCGGTAAAACGAAGCAAAAGGAAAGGAATTTCCTTCTATAAAACTCAATTCCGGCTCAGAAAAATGGATTTTTTCATTCATCTTTAGGCACAATTAGCATGTTTTAAGTTTAGGGGAAAATTAACAAGAAAATCAAAGGAGTAAGGGGATGTTGGATTTTCGTTTCAAATTCATGTTGCCGTTTTTAGATGATTTCTATAGATTTTGTATTAATATGAATATTTAATGCAATTGTTATTTTGAACAGTTGGATGTTGTTTATTTAGATGTTTGAAATTTGTTATTAATTAGGTTTGGCTTTCTGTAGATTAGACCCAAGTGCTCTTTTTCTGTGTTAACATTTAATTCATAGCTATTTTGAGATTGACAATGCAAAAAATGGATTGATAGTGACGTTTCAGCATATCGTCTTAACAGTGCAATCCTTGAATTGTTTCCTCTTTGTTGGCTATTTTTAAGCACTGATAACTATTAAGGTTGATGATTGATAGGTTTCAGAGAATAAAAAACGCTTAATTGGAAATAAATAAAAAACTGAAAAATGCAAGCTTTATGTACTGGGTTTATTGTTTAGCAGTTAGATGTTCTGGTTCTAATGTGAGCAGAGCAGTGATCCCACAACATGGGTTTGGAGGAAAGAAAATGTTTAATTGGTGTAGTTATTCATGTCAAAGTTAGATGGATAGAAAAAAGGGGTTCTACAAATGAAAGTCCGTTGTTTAGCTCTGTCCTTTTAGCTTAGATTTGACTAATTGGTTTCAAATTATAGATTTATATAGTTTAGATACTGACGTGTCCGTGTGATTGAATTGTTCTTTTCTCTTTTTAGTACATATGGTTTATGTCCTGATTCATAGTTTCCATTTCCTCCGCAGTTTCATGTCGTTTGATTTTAGGGTTGCTCAAATGGCTGGTGATCAAGAAACAGCTGACAAACAATCAGAACCTACTTTGTCAAATCCATCTCAAAAACAGGAAACTCGTGATGAAGTGCTATTTAGGAACAGGTAAGATGTCCTCAAGTCTATGCTATCAGCTACTCATTCCTTGATTTTATTGATGACCCCGGACAGTTAAGCAACTAGGGCATCTTAATGTTTGATTAAATTTTTAATTCGGTTTGCTACAATGTTGTGGTTGTGCTAGAGAAAAGAGGGTTCAATATGAAGAAAAAATAAGGCTGAGCTTTACTTCTAAAATCTCGCTGACCTCTACTTCTAAATTCTTGCTAATTTCCCTTGCTGATATTTGAGACAAGCAATTTGAATAATATTGTCTGCCCTGAATTAATTCAGTTGCATGCTTGATCTGCTTGTTAATATGAAGCTTGCATCATGTTTGCTCTCTAGCGCTTAACTGCTTTACTTATTTAATGATTTTTTTTTTTCATGTTTCTTCAAACCTCCTATTACAGATCTTAAGACTTTAATGTTGCTGTCCTTCAATGACATTATTTGTATGCAGGAAAGAGATATCTAATCTGCAGAAGAAGGAAACTGAAATGAAGAAGGCAGCAGCAAAGGGTAGCAAAGCTGAGCAAAAGGCTAAAAAGAAGCAGGTTGAGGAAGAGATCTCTCAACTCTCTGCTAAGCTTAAAGAAAAGCATGCCCAAGAGCTTGCTTCATTAGGATACAGCACTAGTAATGAAAATGAGAAAAACAGTCTTGACAACTTGGTGAAGGCCATTGCTGGGGTTTCTGTTGCCAGTCAGCCTGACCATTCAAAGCCCAGCAAGAGTACGAAAAGAGATGAGAGAAAAGAGCTCAGCAAGAAGCTGCAAGAGAGCAAAGAATTCAAGAAGAGCGGAGCAACATTGTGAGTGAGAGAATGATTGAAGATGAGTAGTTGGTGAAAAAACTTGAACCCCTTGGATTGAAGATCAATGAAATAAAGCCAGATGGACATTGCCTCTACTGAGCTGTTGAAGATCAACTGGCACTTCTGTCAGGTGGTTCTTCTCCTTATACATACCAAGAGCTGCATGAACTGGTGGCTGCTTATATGAGGAAAAACATATCTGATTTCCTTCCCTTTTTCCTGGCCGAGAATTTGGCAGACGAAGATGCTGGAAAGTCACCAGCAGAGAGATTTGAGCATTACCGTAAAGAGGTGGAGTCAACAGCTGCTTGGGGAGGACAGTTAGAGCTGGAAGCTTTGACTCGCAGCCTAAGAAAACATATCATGATATTTTCAGGATCCTTCCCTGATGTGGAGATGGGAAAGGAATACAAAGCTGAATGAGGGTCTTCTTCATTCAAAGGTTCTGTTATGTTATCATACCATAGGCATGCCTTTGGTCTTGGCGAGCACTATAATTCTGTGGTCCCAAATGGGATTGGATTGGTAACTTCAAATCACCAGCGGTAGATTCCTATCCGTATCGATGTTTACTTTATTATGATCTCTTGAGAGAATAAGTGACAAACTCTTAAGTTAAATTACAAAACTATGCATGTGATTGATGCTAGTTGATTCATTATTTATGTTTATCTCCTACTGGTTGGTATTGTTCAAACTAATGGATCAGGGGTTGACATTACCAAGTTTTTGCAACAAATGGTCAAATTACAAACGTTTATCTAATTCTTCTTTCTCGTGTGCTCAAGCTTTGCAAAGATGGCATGATTTGGATGTGAAATCTTTTAAGATCTTGGCTGTCTTTTTATCATATAAGGGTGTGGTCCTCAGGCACGTGGATATGAACCAAAAATTTGTAAAATGAAAAAGCTATCTGAGGACCAAAGACAGGACATGAAGCAGAATATGATAATGTGAAAATGATAGTCCCTTGCTAAAGCCAGAAACGAAAAAACATGTGTTGCAACATGATGTGGAACAGTGAAGTGCGTGGTGGACGTGGTACAGAGCAAGAGGAGGAGCATCCTCTTGATCCAATTTGGTGACATTGATTGGATTAAAATGATCGTCAATTTTCATGAAATAGATTCGGGGGAATAACTTTGTCTTTGTCCAGAATGGTGAAATCCAGAATTCCAGATAACAATGTTGCACAGAATTTTGCTGCTTTACAACTAGAAAAGCCACATTGCAGAATGCAGATCGATGTTAGCCGTCTAAAATTTTCTTCTCATACAAGAGAAAAGAAAGATAAGAAATTTTGTAGAAGCAGCTATTTAGGAATATCATTTAAATCCACGTCTCTGTGAGTTGTGATGCTGAGATCCAACACCGTGATCTTTAGAGATTCATCCACCGAAGTTGATATTCTCTCACAGGCACTAGTACATCATCTCAACTCAATCTCTCTCTTTTGTAAGGGAGAAAAGATCAAGAAAAATGTGAACGTATCGTGAAAAATATGATATTAAAGGGCCTTTAAAGACTTCTGCCCTCATTTTATTGATTAGGAATTTAATCTTTTAGTGATGACATAAGAAGTAATATCATTCTTGAATCTTTTAGTTTTAGTATGAATGATTTGTCTTTTTATTTTCTTATTTTATATTTTTTTAAGAGTTTGAACACCTAATCTTAACTTATAAATCAAGATATTTTTATGTTAATGAATACTTACTCAACTAAACTCTTGTTAATGGATAACTTTGACTTTGACCTAGTCAAGAAGTGGATATAAATATGTTGCACACAAACTTACCCAACTCATGATCCTAAGTAAATGACACTTGGTTCTATTTGGGCAGGTAAGGCTCTCAAAAAGAGCATAAATATGGAGCCATCTTCCATATATAAACCAGATCCAAAATTAGCTCTATTTGAAGCCGGTTTATATATGAAAGATGACTCCATATTTATGCTCTTAATTTTATTGAGAACCTTACCTGCCGATTTGTCCTCCATGGCTTACTCAAGACTCAAGAGATATTACATCGAAAGCCTCACAGTTATGCGCAGAAACATGATGTTATCATCAATAGAGGAAAAGGAGATTGCAATGGATGATATATACCAATCACCAATGATTCAAATTCGTGGGAGAGGAAGTTTTCTTAGGGATAATAAAGTGACATCTCATTATTACTTTATTTTTCTATATATCAATGTGTGATCATTTCTAATTTTAAGAATTTTAATTTTTCTTTTCTAGAAGGCATATATTCTAAATTTTTAATTAAAAAAAATGTTGTATAGTATGAACTACATTAAATTGCACAATTTAAACTATTGAATGGGACAAGCCTTTACATATCAGGTTGTCTCCATATGCAATAGTCATCTTTTGCAATCCAAATTGCAAAAGAGGAATCTTATTTTTAATAAGGGAAATTATTAGTACATATTTGGTTTGATACATTTTCTTACATTTATTTAATTTAATCGTTAAAAATATAATATAAGTATAGCTAATTTAATCGATTTTTATATTTTATATATATAGTTGTATTTTTAAATTTATTTATCTTTAATTTTAAACTAAAATAATAAATTTTTAATAAATATATCATACAATATATTAAATTAGAATATTTTTCACAAAATAATCAGAACAAGGTGAGTATTACACATTAGCCCAATAGACATAACATTTTTTTTTTTTTTTTGCACATTTTGTCATGGACCGGCTCGAACCGTTGCCCTGAGAGAGGGGATATGAACCTTGCAAGCGTGACTAGAGCCACTTGGCCCGAAAGGTCAGGTTCAATAGACATAACAATTAAAGCTTATGAATTAGGTCTGTCTCATGGGTTCTTGCTGGCTTTTGCTCTTCTTCATGTTAAGGTAATGACGATCCCAAACAATAAAATGATCTTATCATCAGCTTACGCGTACAATGTGATGAAGTACACCAATGTTTCCATGCAAATTCTCATTTCCAGAAACCGAAATCAATTTCAAACTTTTAGCTTTATTATATATAAAAGAAGTTTTGACTTGATAATATTTTTATAATGAACAGCAAGTGTGATACAATAATCTTGCCTTTCCGATTAAATTTAACAATCTCCTCCCAATATTATATAGATTAGGTTATGTTGACTCTAAAAAATAGTTAAAGTCTCAACTTACATTTAAAAATTAAAATTTCATTTTATTAAATATTTATATTTAATTTTAAAAACTTATTATATATTCTAATATAATTAAAATCTAAATATAAATATTTAATAATATAATTTTTTACATTTTAAATTGAGTTTGAATTAAATAAAAAAAATAATTTAAAATTAAACTCTAATTACTTTTAAAAGTCGAAACTGATATATATTTTTCTCATAGACACGTGCATATATATATATGTTTAAGAATCCTAATCAGGAAAATCATAGAACAATTAATCGGCACCAAATCTACCTTTTGATCCTAAATAAAGCATAACTTTTTAGTCACGTTTCCGATGCTTTCGAACCGACCTACGTACACTTATAAATACCAACGATTAGATGCAGAATACATATTAGATGGACATTTCAATAGAAAAAACATGCCTTTATGTATTTCAATTGTAATTGGACAAAAAATGATATACTCTTAAATTCAACACACTCAATAATATATTTATTAAAAATTTATTATTTTTAAATTAAAATTAAAAAAAATTTTAATTTCGAATTTTGATAACTGAACTGATAAATATTAATAAGTATGTTGAACTAAAAAATACAATAATAAATTTTCATGTAATTTACACATACTGTGGGCATTTGCCAATAGTTTAGTGCATGCAAAAACATGGAGAATATCTCAGCTACATTCCCAAGTATAGATAAAGTTGTGGGTCCTTGGAGGCATCTTCTTCTTGTTCGTTTTCCTCCTCCATTGTACGAACCAATATACGGAGTTAATGTTGGAATGATGTTTGGAGGCTAAGTAAGGGCAATATAGCTTTAGTTATGGCATCTTTTTGGCTTTTGGTTTTTCTTCAATTGAACATACACGAATCTTACTATGGCCGAAGAAAAAAAGGTGTCCTCTCCATTTGGATAAACCCAAACTTTTTTTTCTCTTCGTCAACAAGTCCCTTGGTAGGAAAAGTTTTCAATTTCATTTTATAAAGATTAAATCTAAATTTAAGCATGAGACTTTCAAATTAAAGGTTTTATATTCAAATTTTAAATAAATGACCATGGCCGAAAAAAGTATCCTCTCCATTTGGATAAACCCAAATTTCTTTTCCTCTTCATCAACAAGTCCCTTCATAAAAAAAGTTTTCAATTTCATTTGATGAATATCAAATATAAATTTAAACGTGAGATTTTTCAATTAAAAATTTTTATTTTTAAATTTGAGATGAATGTGGTTTGAATACTCATGTTATAAAAAAAAATTGAGAGAAACAAGATGTGTAACCAAACGTTTGATACAATAAACAAATTCTTTTCATGTAAGATTAATTAAGATATTTATTGTATTCTTATGAGAGAACCCTATTTAAGAATTTAATTAGCTTTATATATATACATGTCAAAGATAGTTGAGTAATGTTGACAATGGATATTTATTATTGTCACATTTTGCATGTAAAAGGCACTATATATGAAGCAATTTGACATTATATTATGTCTTTATCAAAGTGATCATCATCAATGAGCAATAGAGAATCCATTAATAATCATCTTTTCCGTCCGTGTATTTTATTCTCTTCCATATTGTTTCCATTTCCAGGCATGAAAATATCAGCGTATAAATAACCCTCCAATGACCCCATTTTTCCTCACAGCTAGTTCAGCACTCTCAACATCCCTTGAGAAAAAACCAACCTTTTCCACCCATTCCAAATCTTCTTCGTACACACAACATCATGGACGTGATTACAAGGATGGTGACTGACAAGCCAGTGGTGATCTTCAGCCGCAGCTCTTGCTGCATGTGCCATTCCATCAAGTCACTGATACGTAGTTTTGGAGCCAATCCTACTGTGTACGAGCTAGATCAGCTTCCAAACGAGCAGCAGATAGAGCGCGCGCTGAAGCAGCTGGGTTGCAGCGGTGTGCCAGCCGTGTTCATAGGGCAGCAGCCCATTGGTGGCCCTAATCAGGTCATGAGCCTCCAGGTCAAGAACCAGCTCGGTACATTGCTCAAAGAGGCAGGAGCTATATGGATTTGAGTAACTTCCTTATACTCAAGTCTAATAATATATATATCTAGAGTAATCTTTTTTGCTGAGCAGTGTAATAGTATTAATTAGGTGCCATGGAGAGCCACTTTGTACACTGCTTTTGGGGGTTGGGAACTGGGAAGGGGTTGAATACTGGTTTCCTGTACTAAGGGGCTGAAACTTTGTATTGTGAGCACTTAATCTCGTGTAGTATGTATTGTCTGAGCTAAATAAAGGTATACACTTCATTTTAATGGCCTAAACATTGATTAATTTATAATGGTCTACTGAAATGAAATTCTTCAGTACAACAGGAATGCTATAGGTTAGTAGTACAACTTACAAGTTTCAGGTCAGAAACAGGAAACTTTGGAATTAGCAGGTTTGAGACTAAGCTACAGTCTGAAAACTAGGAAGAAACAAGCTGCAGCTGATGAAAGAGTGTTTTTCTTGGGGTTGAAAAAATTTAGAGGTGTTTGGTTTAATTTCCCAGGAAATACCACCTTCCAGAATTTTGAAAGGATATTTTAGTATTTACACATATCAAAACTACAATAAATAAAGGGTAAAAATGATATTTTTAGAATTTATTTTTTTTACACAATTTTCAACACATAAAATTATCCTTTTACGAGAAAAAAAGTTTTCTTATATTGAATCTATTTAATAGCTTTCTCTACTAATTTTTCTGATATCAATTTTTTATCAACTACAAAATTAACAATTTAATAAAATTTCATTATAAAACTTAAATAACTTTCCATATTTTTTTAGCAATATTACCAATAAAAACCTTTCGGAAAAAGCTCGCCTATGACCAAACACCCCCTCAAAGTAATCACAATTAGTATTTTCGCTCCCTTTTGCTCTTGGG